GTTTGTGGATTCAAAAATGTACAGCATTCTGATTCTGTGCTTGTTCCAAATTTCATGACTGAGAGTGTTAAACTGAATGAATGTTTCCCATTCTGGGCCACCCTTTCTCAGTTAAAACTGATTTGTTTTAGACTAAAATCCTGTCCAATCAATGTACCAATGCTGCTTTTTGCTCTCTGCTCCAGAAACTGGAATAAGTGGCTACATGATGGTTCATGTAGCCTAACACATTTCAATTGCAAAATTACTTTAGTATATAATCCCTTAGGTATCTGTGCATGTGTTATTTGTAATCAAGCAAGCAAGCAAGCAACAAAAGTTATTTGTAGCTTCTAAGAAAGTTGTATTTTCCATTCCACCCAGACCATTGACAATTTTGTTTGTTTCTTTATTTACTCCGTGTTTGTAATATTTTGTTTGTAATATGTTATAGTCTGGTGTGTTATTTACGTAGGATATATACATTAAATATACTGTCTGGTCCCAAAACAAGCCTCTGTCTGTTGTGGTGTTTAATTGTTTAGTAAAAGCTGTTTTTGTTTGTTGACCTCTTGTTCAATCTTCAGTAGAGGACTGTTGTCTGTGGAAGTAAATGAATCGGATACTTTTTTTTCACAACCCAAGTGGAAGTTATACTCTGATCATTTGCCTCTGACAATGAATTCCACTTGCATTGTCTAGACACCATCCGGTCAGTTTGCTGAAGACTATCCTCTGCAGAGGTAGACATTGAGTATTTTGTCATTAAAATTCTGTAACAGTTTATTATTCACAATTTTTTTGTCATAATATTGTAGTTTTTGACATTGATGCTTTTCGAACCTTCTGTGTTAGCAAAGCTGTGTGTCTAACAAACGTTTTAATGTGGGATTGGTTTTTTTTAATTAACTGAAGGCAACATCTTTTACCTAGAATTATAATTTTACCTCAAGTATTAGATACTAGCTGTGTTTATATCCTTAATTGATGAATATGCAATTTTACTCATTAGAAACACAGTAGAATTTGAAATAACACTAATTAATTAAGCTTGAACCAATCAGCAGGGATTTTTTTATTTTACTCAGTTTGGATGTGGATAATTTTTTACCCATTTTGGTGAATGAATTAAAAAAACAGGTAACTTTGATGGCTGCAGCCAGCCAGTGTTTGTTAATGTAAGCAAGAAATTGATAGAGTTAATTAACTGTGATATTTCTGTGAAACTCAGAAAATTGCATGTAAACACCACAAATATTCATATATCATCCTATTTGACCTCTCAAAAGCTTTTGATAGCATTCAACATCAAAAGCTGCTTCTTAAACCCTCCAAAGTAGGAGTATCACCTTCAACTGTTAATTGGTTCAAGAGCTATCTATCAGGGTGCTCTCAATTTTTTCAAATTGATTCCACTCTTTCGGACCCCCTGCCAATAACACATGGAGTCCCACAAGGCACAATCATTTCACCATTGCTTTTCTGCATCTACCTCAATGATCTGCCCTCAGCTTCTAGTACATACATACATACATATACTTTATTTAAGCTCGAAATTCAGTGTAGCTGTAGAGCTAATATCTTCGAGGAAAAAAAAAGCTAAAATGAAATAAAAATATGCTATCTTACAATTTCAATATTATTTATAAACTATATACAACTAAAAGCTAAGAGAGAAAACTAAGAGGTAAACATAACTTGTAGATCTACTATGGAAAAGCTTCATATCTGAGGATCTGCTTGAATTCTAGAAAATTTAATGTTCTGTAAGTGTCTGGGGGAGAGTTCCAAAATATTTTGCTAGCTAAGTATGAAAAAGAGTGCAGACCATATGTTGTTGTTTTTGGGTTGGGAAGGGACATGATATGATTTCCGCGCAAATTGTAAGATGAAGACTGTACCGTGAACATATCTTTTAAATAACCTGGATAATTCGTAAAGAATAGACTCTTATATACTCTTGTACTTGCAGCCTGGAGTCATATGTGGACAACTTCCAAGTATTACTGTCATTCCCACCAGCAGAAGTTGATTCGGCTATTGAGAAGCTTGAACAAGACCTGCTCAATGTGGTCTGATGGTGCCATGCAAACAACTTACCGATAAATCCAAGTAAGACCAAGCTCCTCTATATCGGAACTAGTCAGTGGATGAGTAGGATACCAGGAGTTCCCTAAGTGTCCTTCATTGGTTGGATACTACAACCAGCTATTTCAGCCAAGGACCTGTAGTCATTCTGGGCCCCCACTTAACTTACGATCACCACATCACATGTGTGGTCTCGTCCTGCTTTTCTAAACTATATCAGATAAATTGGGTAAAGAAGAACTTTAACAAAGAAACTTTAAAATTACCTAATAGCATCAGTCTTTAGTAAAATGTTATGTTGTTCCACTGTGTGGTCAAACACATCAGCTGGAAATATCAGTAACCTACAGTCAGTCCAAAACTTTGCCAGCAAGATAGATTACGAACTCTAAGAAATTTGACCATGTAACTCCTTTGCTTCACCAATTGAACTAGCTACCTGTAAAGCAACTACTACTGTATAAGGACACGGTAACGACATACAAATGTCGGAATGACCTCGCTCCACAATACCAGAGTGATAAGTTCATTGAGTGCTCTTGTATTCATGCTCATTACACGCACAAAGGGACTCACTTCAGATACCAATTTGTAAAACTGCCTCAGGCCAAAGTACTTTTACCTATAGAGCAACTAGCTTATGGAACAGTTTGGACAATGACTCTGAGAATTGTACCTCCTTGAAATCTTTTAGGATTGCCATGAGGAAGTACCTCCACACAGTATATTAGCATGAACCTTTAGAGCTTGTTTAGTTATAAATAATTACTATATTAATTTTTATTATTATTATTAATATTATTATATATCTTTATACAATTTTAAATATATTTTGGGAAACCTTTCAAGGAACATCCATAAAAGGTTAATTTAATTCAACATATTTTTGTGTGTCACAAAAAATCCCAATGAGGTGTCAGGAAACAAAAATTAAATTCCAAAAAACAATTATGGTTATTAGTTTTTGATTTTGAGGGTTACTTGTATGAGCAAATTTGAAAGTGGTTGGCAGGTGCAGAACTGACTTGATAGGATCTAATTAAATTGGTTCTCAGTAACAATAATGATTGTGGCTTGCATTGGGAGATAAGAAATCCCAGGGCAACATGCTTCACTAAAAATTTTTAATGAGGTAGAATATTCACCACATAAATTGATATTTCTTTTTTATTTGCACTGTCACCAACAAAATTTATGGTGCCTTTAATTACTATTTTTTTAGAACAATGACAGTAGTAACATTATCAATATCACAGCCTTACTTCAACACAACATCTGAGTATTCTCCATTCAGGGGACACCCTGGGACCGGGGCAAGTGTTCCCTAAATAAAGTTTAAGGTTTGTCAATGATTAACCCCCCAAAAAAAGCATTGTCTGAATTCTCATCAAAAATTGTCATCAAGTCTAAGTCATCAAACCATGTGCCATATTAGAAAGGTCATATTGTGAAAGCTGTCATCATTGTGGTTAGGGTATACTTAATCTTTGGGGTCAGTCACATTTTGAGTGGTCAAAATGGACATTACAACCAGGCTTCGGAACCCAAAAAAGTGTTCTGATCCCCTGAATAGAGGAGTCCCTTCCATAGAGGTAATGGATACAAAGATATGATTGAACATTTTCCTGAGACCAAGTTTGTGTTCCCTGAATAGGGGTCTCCCAAATAATCTAAACAATGAAAATATAATGAAGAGATCAAGTACGCAATCCAGGGGACACCCTGGGACCAGGGCAAGTGTCCCCTAAGTAAAGTTTAGGGTTTGTCCATAATTAATCCCCCTAAATCCTTCCTTTGGCAAAAAAATTTATATCATCAAACCATGTGTTAGAAAGGTCATATTGTGAAAGCTGCTGTCATTGTGATTAGTGTCCCTTCCATAGAGGTAAAGGATACAAAGATATGATAGAACATTTTTCTGAGACCAAAGTTTGTGTTCCCGGAATAG